CTTTTTTTTTTTTTTTGAAGCTCTTACAATGAGAAAATGGGGGGGACACATCTGGGGGGGGGGGGGGGGGGGGGGGGGGGGGGGGGCTTTGCGTTCCTGGAAGAGTTTTGATTCCCTGGACCTGGCTGTATTAAGTGTCAGTGAGCTACATGCACACAGAGTGCTCCCTTGGATTCCACAGACACCTCCCCACATCCCCAGCAAGGCCATGGCAGACTCGTGCCAAATTAGGCGTGAGTCAGGCACCCATCTGTCCCCGCATGGGACATCCTCTCCAGGGAAGGGCAGGTGTGGCAGCTGTCACGGAACTAGTGAAAACATTTTTTGTGTCAGAGGTCTCTTCTCAGGTACTGGCTTCTGTACTCATTGTACCCTGGCTGGTGCACGAGCCTCCTGCTCTCCCAGCTTACACCCCATCCATTCTCCAGAGAGATCCTGTCATGAGGTAAATCCAGTCATGTCCCAGGCTTGCAGCCTGCCTGTGGCTTCCCATAATATCCCAAGTCCTTACCATGATCTGTGAGGTCCTCCGTGGCCCAGCCCCCACCCACCCTTCTAACCCTGCTCCCGCAGGGTCATGCCTGCAACCTTCTCACACAGTGTCAGTCAAGTGGCCTGTCCCCTTACTTCCTCATCACAAAACCTTGCAGAGCTGTTTATTTATGGTCAGTCTCCTCCATTGGGACGCAGTCTCCCAAGGCAGCCTGGGTGTTGGTATTTCCAGCCTCTAAAATGATGCCTGGTAGTAGGCAGTCCAAAAAGGTTTGCTCAATTAATACTTTCATACTTATTCATTGTAGGTCAGTGCAGGACAGGGCAGCGAATGTGTCCCAGAAGAGTTTTGGCTCTTTGGAGAGTACAAGAGTTGGTCTGTCTGTCTTAGGTTCTCTGTGGGGTTTACCCATACGCCGTTCCTAAGACAAATCTGACTTTCTTTTTTAATCATAAGAATTATTAGAACTGATTTGCATGTATTTGTTTAGCAGGTGCAGGCTGTGAAACTTAGGGCTGTCTGAGTGACCCAAGGCCCCTTTACAGGACAAGAGTTTGTGAGGCCCAGGCGAGGCCCCAGCAGACTCCTCAGCTGCACACGGCTCACACAAGTTCATGGGCTTCTGAGGCGACGCCACCCAGTGGTCCTTGGGCCCAGCAATGTTCCCTCCTAAAGTCACCTGGGGCAGCCATCTGCTTAGGGATGGGTTCTTATAAAAATGACAGCGCTAGTAATTTCCAGTGTCAATTAGTCCTTTAAAGGGATGTCACATTTTCCTACAGAATCACAGTTTTTCTTCATACTGGCTACAGGCTCTGTTCTTTATGAGAAAAATCCACTTTCTCTGCAGTTGTTTTTCATTGTTATAAACTGATTTATTTCAAGGTTTGGAGTTAGACTGCTATCCTATTTTATGAGAAAAATACAGGAAATTCCATGACAAGAAGAGCAGGACTGGGGTTGCAGGAACGTCAGGTAGCCTGATTCGTTAACGTGAGACCACGAGATTGGCGGGGGTGGGTGGTGGTGGGGGCACAGACCTAGAACACTTGACTCAGTCATGACCCCCACCATCCAACACAGGCCCAGATCCTCCCAGACATGCGCCCTGCAAAAGCAGCCTTTCCGAGGCCTCAGTTTCCTAGTCTTTACCAAGGTGTGACTCACCCGCACCCTGAACATCCGGGGGCACTCCTGGAGCCTCCCCCAGTCATCTGGTCTGGTTGACTTCTCATCACAGCGCTCTGGGCGAGGCTCCCCCAGTATCCCCATTTTAGACACGGGGAGTTACCCTTAGCCACGCACTTAGGCAGTGGTAGAACCAGGATCTAACCAGGCCACCCACTCCATAGACCCTGCCCTTCACCAGCAGCTCAGACACCATCCACATGGAGCCTTTTAAATTTAAATTGATCAAAATAAACTCAGTTCCTCTGTCACACTAGCGACACTCGAAGTGCACAGTAGTCACACAAGGCTGGTGGCCACTGTCAGCACTGGTGTGACCATGTCCACCATCACAGAAAGTTCCATGAGCGGCCCTGCTCTGGGCTGTCTGCCTACTAATGCTCCCTCGTGACTTATTAGAAAAGTTTGGGCACAGCTAAAACCAACTGATGGCTGTGAGAATTCTGTCACTTTCTGTGCTTGCTTTCTTTATAGAAAAATCAGCCTTAGACAGATCTTCACAAGAACGTCGTGATTTCTTTCATAGGCATAATTACATGTTCCAAGCTAAACTGCAGTTCAAGAGGAGGTTATAAATCCTTTCTCAATAATGACTGTACTTGTGTTGTTCTCTCCTGGAAACTGAGAGGTGACTGAAGAATCCTCCCTGCCCCAGTAAAATCTCAAGTTCCGCATTTCTCTGGCAGCCTCAAGGCTCCAGGGTCACAGAAGCAGCAGCAGTGGCCTGGGACAAAGGGTGGAGCCTACATCTGTGCTTTGTGTCTCTGCAGGGTGGCAACGACCATGAGATCTTCACAGACCCGAGAACTGTAGGCTACACCGTGGTGGCGCCCGAGGACACACGCAGGATCTGTGAAGAGCTCTTCTCCTGACATGACAAGGGAGGGGTCCTGGCAACGGAGCCCGAGCCGAGCTTCCTCCCTCCCTCCCTCCCTCCCATGCCACTTGCCACCAGCCCCCAGGCCGGCTTTTCCCACTGTGCCAATCAAGGCCTTTCTGGACCTCTGTAGCCTCGCTCGGCAGAGAACTGGCCCTCCACTCCAACACGGTACCTCCATCTCCACTGCCAGCAGCAGCCAGAAGGGAGAAGAAAGGACTTGTCAAGAATGGCTTGAAGGAATACCTCCAACAAAAGGTTTTATACCCCACCCCATGCCCAGGCTGAGACCAACCCAATGTGTGCAGTCACATGGTTTGGGGACTTGCCCATCAGTCTGGAGTGATGCAGAAAGATCACATGTGTCTGGACCCTCCCTCTTCACAGGGCTTGTGAAGGAGTTACAGGGATTAATGCTGGGACCCGGCGTCAACATTAAAAAGGGGGATTTGGTGATGAGACATCCGCACTGACCCAGGACAGAAGTTTAAGAACACTTCCTGAAATGAGGCTCCCTCCCAAGCAATGGAGGCTTTGCTGTGAGCCTGCAGCTGGATGCCTGGAGGGAATCTTTGTTTTCCAAGCCCACTTCTGGGACAGGTGGCTGGCCAAGGGACAGCTGACCCTAAGGAGTTTGCACCTCAGCTGGCCTTTCTTGGGTCAGCTGTGAGTTCACTACATTTTGAATGGCCTGGCTGCTTTCTGGAAGCATTGAGATGGGAGGAAGTAAGGAGCCAACAACCCTAGTGGAGAATTGGCCCTGGAAAAGCAGTCCTTCCCCAGCATCCCAGCTCTGATCCCAGGGACAGGGAAACTAACTTCGCCCAAAGGACCTTCTCCTTATTGGCCCTGGGTGGGCTCCCAGGGGCCTTTTACACCCCTAGTTTCTCAGGGATCAGGTGGGAGCCAGGGTAGGGACAGGAACGGGAGCTGCACTTTACGGTTAGCCTGTCCACCAGGCCCTCATCCAGACTTTGACTTGAGGGTGTAGGAGCAGCTGTAGTTGGGCCCATGTCCCTCACTCCTCCCTCCCACAATCCACATGAAATTGGAAGGAAGCTCACGGGACTCCTCCAGAACACGGTGGAAAAGAACTTTTCAAGAAAACAGTTCACATTGTCACTTTTCAGTGTGTGGAAATGCTGGGACCCATCAACCCTCTGCTGGTGCTGCCAACCTGAACCTGGGACCGGGTGTTCTCTCACCACCCACCTCCCAGCACAGCCAGGGCTCATCACTGACGAGCCTGGTTCTCTCCAAACCTCCCAGCCACTTGGGCTTGTGTCAGCTGCAGATCAGGTTACGTGACAGCGGGAAGGCCGGGCTTGTGGACCCTGCCCCTCACCCACCCACTTTCCCGCACATGAGAGATTGGCGTTCCTGGGACACGAGTGAGTCCCAGGACACAGCCAGCCAGTGGCATCTCTCCTTGTTGAATTTTGCAAATGATACTGTAATGACCTTTCCAAATGAAAAGTTGCACATTAAAGTGATTTTATTCTTTCCTATTTCTCACTCTGGTTACATTTTCCTCCTCTAACTGTTGAGTGAATGAAGTGAAAGATTAGCAGTGGTATCATCTCAGATTCTGGAAGGACACCCTAGTCCTCGATCTGAGAGCTGCTCTTTCTTTGCCCCTGTGTTTCTGCAGCGTCGGGAGCCCCTTACTCTGTCTGCAGTGCTGCACCTTCCCGACTGGCACAGGCTCCTCCACCGTTTTTATGCCCTCTAGATCAGGATCCATGATTCCCTGGAAGTTTCCTTCCCTCACTGTTAGAGCAAGACAACTGAGTCTTACTGCAGCTTGTCCTCTCCTTCCTGTAGCTGGAGACACAGGGTAGCTGCTGTCACATGCCTGCACAAGGCGGCCCTCAGGCGGGGGCCTTGAGGCTGCCCTGGGCACCTGATGCCAGCGGGCCTGGCCACTCCCTTCCCAATTATCCCTTGAGCCCTCTCGCCATTCCCCACTCTGCACTGTCAGAATTTTCTCAACCGCCCTCCTTGCCGCCTCAAGAGGATTTTGGACCTTCCCATCCATCCTCCTCCCTTCTGTCCTCTCATCATTTCACTGCATCCCAGCCCAGGCTTCCTGGGATTTATCCCAAGGGCCTCCCCTAGCCAGGCACCGTGGTGGGGATGTCAAGTAATCATGGCTACATCATGAAGCACTTCCAGAGCAGCAAGTTCTGTAGTGGAGCTGGGCTGCCCAGGTTCAGAGCCCAGTCCTGCTGCCAACCAGCCGTGTGACTTTGGGCAAGTCCAACTCGGCCTCGGTTTGCTCGTCTGTCAGATGGCATAGTGCCTACCACATATGTAATTTAAAGGCATTAATTTCAATGAAGACTGAACAGTGTGTGTTAGCTATTACCAACTCAGGTAACCCCTAGGAACCCTGAAAGGCAGCGACAATCATTCCCTCTGCCTTAGGGAGTGGGCAGGATAAAGACACCAAGGCAAGAAATTTAAATACATTAGGTAAGAGGGCAGCACAGAGGTTACATCCTAGCCAGTCTGGGGCTGTTAAGAAAGTCACTAGCACCCCTGCCTCCAACCCCCCCAGCACTACAGAACCTGATCCTGGACCCAGGGCTTAAGCCCCAGGGGAAAGGCCTTGGTGAGCCAGGGCAGGCCAAGAGCTCGCTGGAGGAGGGAGAGACCAGCCAGGTGGGCCCTTACAAACCCTGGTGAAGACCTTGAACTTGACTCTGAGGAGGAGTCTGGGCAAGGTTCCTGATGTGCCTGGCACAGATGTCAATGTAATCCACGCATATGTGGCCTTGAATCACATCATCTCCAAGGGCTCCCAAGTGCTCCTTGATCTTGGCCACCTCAGCCCAGGACAGGTGCCTCCTACCCTAATGAGAAGCAGCCAGGCTCCCTCTTACCTACACTCCACCCTCCAGGCACCCCAAAGTCAAGTGCTGGAAGTCATCCCACCCCCCAGGGCTGCTTTCCCAAACGTCAGTCTTCCCGGCCCCACCTGCAGTTTCTGCCAAACCCTTCCCCATGCCACTTGTGTAACCCTCACTGCAGGCAGTAAGTCCACAAATCTCCTGGTTTTGAGCTAAATGCCTACTCTGGCCTCTCCCTAAACAGGTTCAATGAGCTGGAAAAGTTTTGTCCTGGCCAGTGTGTAATTTGTATAATTTACAATATAATTTGTCCCAATATATTTTGAAAATCATTGTATTATTAACAATAACAGTATTCATCTCTGCACCACCAAAAACCACTACCTCCCTTGGGAAACACTGGCCGGGACAAAACATTTCCAGCCAGGCACAAAGTCTCTCCCACAGTGGCCCCTGACAGTCACCACCACCCCTGTATCCCCCCACTGCTCTGCTAGAAACCAAGCCCAGGGGCCCTCTTGTCGGGCCCACCCTGGCTCTCCCACTGCTCCATCAGCTAACTCCCGTTCCTCCTGCACCCTGGCCCTGTGCCCAGACTGCTGGACCCCCTAGGGTGGGGACAGCCTCATGTTTCCAGCCCCCCCACTTCGTGCCCGGAGAGTAGTGAGCCTTCAAATGTCTGGAGCAGGAAGAAGTGAGACCCATTCCCATGGGTGTATGGTGAGAATGACGTTTCTCACACGACACCCTAAATGCTTCAACAGAGCATTTGTCCACAACTAAGTAAATGGCATGTTCTGGTGCCACGAAGCCACATTCTTTGCTAAACTTTCCCACACTAGAGAATGACGATTAAAAAAAAGGTGTGATCCCCTCTTCTTATTCACCCCCACCCCCCAAAAAACCAGACTGCAGTAGAAAGTGTCAGCCGGCCTTGTTTAAGGGAGACGCCCATACCTGCTGCTTAAAAGGAAATACTCCGTGTTTGGGTTTTTTTTTTTTTTTTTCCCTATAAATTTTAGCTGACCACACAGCAGCCCCAGAATCGCTGTAAAATTATTCTGGTTCTGGCGGCTGCCCAATTTGTGAATCGTTTTTTGCTCAATGAAACTCTGTTAAATTTTAAATAAATAAACAAAGGGAACACTCTTTTGCGAACCAGCCAACATGTTCACGAACACACAGCCTCACAAAATGCAACTTTATTGAAAGGTGGCTGATGGGAAGCCCAATCTGGATTTGGGAATCCTGGATTCTAGTCCCAGCTTGGTCACCAACATCACATGTCCCTCCCACAGCCTTGAGGAGTTTCCCCATCTGTAAATTGAGACTCCATGTTTGAGCGGAGAGGGGGTTCCTGCCCGCTCTATTGTCCTGCAGTTCTAGAATACTCAACAATTGAAAAAGATGTGGTCATGCAGGAAGGACTGAGCGAGAGCCGTTTACAAAGGATTCTGCTGAGCAAGAGAATCCAAAGGTCACCTCTGAACAGTGGAATGCAGCCCCCAAGCTCACCATCAGGCAGAGCTCCTAGAGCTTCCAGCATGTAGGGTCACACCAAGTCCCAACAGGTGCCAAGGTGAGGACAAGGATGTAGTAAAGGGGTGAAGACGCAGGTTCTCAACCTCAGGGAGCCCTCTCGGGTCTTGGCAGAAGTAGCTTTGGAAGTGTGGTCTGTACCCAGGAGACAGCAAGGCCCCCCGGGGAGCCATCTGGATAACAATCCAAGGCTGCAGTGGGAAAGGCCACCTTTGACCCAGCAGAAGGCAGAGGCGGGAGGGGAGGGCCCTCAAGGGCCACAGCAGGCAAGAAAAAATCTGATCCAGTGCTTAACTGTGATGCCAACAGTTTGTATGTTTCACTGCACACACACAATCAACACGCTTACTTGCCTATTTTAAAACAACTCCATCAGTCATCAGCAACATAGTTCCATAGCCTTCCACCCCCCTCCAAACGAAGCAGTCCTTAGGCTGAAAAGGACAGGCACATCTGAGTTAAGACACTTGATGAGGCCGTAGTGCTTCCAGCATCAAATGACCCTCTCTCTTACTGAACCATCGTCGTCTGCCCAAAAGCCACTGTTTCAAAGGGTTTGCTTCCCTGCGTTGACAAGTAGATCCTTGACTATATGTAGGCCACATATTTCAAACCATATTGCCCAGCTATTTCTATCTTTAAATCACAACTGAAGCTAAACCAAATCACAGCAAAGAAAATCCTAACGATCTGCTTAGTGGAAATACCTACACAAGTTTGCAATGTTGGCAGCAGACTGCAAACAGAGCTGGCTCTGGCTGATAGCTTTAGTTATTACAAAAAAAAAACAACCAAAACCCTAAGCGTTTCTTGACACCAATTTTAAAGAAAATCCCCTCACCCAAGGTGTATTTGTCTGTCAAGTTTTGACTTTACCAGGCTGTCAGGAGGCAAGCTACCTACTCTTTCCTGGAAGAGTCTGGAGAAAGTTGTGTTTTTAAACAGAGACCCTCCCCTCTGCAAAGCCGTTCTACCGTCTCTCACTACCCACCCCAATCACCACCTCCAACCACCGCCTAAATGACAGAGGCTGTGAGATGGCTGCTGAGTAATGAAGACAGATGGAGAAGATCAGGCTTCCAAGAGGAGTCAGAGTTTAGCCCCGAGCTCCAGACTGCCACGCCCAGGGGTCAGGGCTCCCGGAGGAACTGTCTTCCCCAGACAGGCAGCTGCGACACTCCCACTGCAAAGGCACCATAAGGCAAAATGCCTCCAATCCAAGGACACCCCCTCCACTCTCCCCACCCCTCTGAAGCCAGCTCCCCTCAAACCAACCAAGCCGAGAATTAGAAGAAGACTGCTCTGCCCAGGTCAAAGGAGGGACATGAGATAGAAATTCACCCTGGGGAAGTCATGCAGAGACCATGTAGTCCCCTAGTGGGCCACATTTGGTGTTTTGAGTCTCCAACTCCAGGAGGAAGAGAAACTGTGTGGGCTGAGCCTGCTCCATTGGGTGACACCACCCCTGACCCACCCCCTGGGCTGGGGTTCGACCCTGCACTCAGCCACCAGCAGGCACCCCTCCTTTTTAAATGCTTTTAATGCTTTTCAGATGGTGAGAGGTTGCTGTGATGGTCAGAGGCTATGCTGGTGGCCAGGAGCACCCTGACGCCTGCCCCCCATACCCCTTCCTCCAGGAGATACTTAAAAGGGACCATGTCCCCCTTTGAAGCCCCATCTCATATGGTAGAATGGTATCTCCAGTGTGGTCCTACCCCCTCCTCACCCCCCAAAGTCTCCCATGAGCCCAGGAGAAGGGGTGTTTCTGGAGTCTCCTAGGAGCTGACGACATGCCCGGACCAGGTCTCATGCTTGGTCCCCGGCGCCAGGTGGGTGATGACTACCTCCACGGCCTGCAGCTTCTCGTTCTTGGGAGGGATGGAGCACATCTTATAGGTGACCTCGTCGCCTTCCACCGGGACATACTCCCCTTCCACGCTGCGGGGGTAGAAAGAGAGCCAGTCTGTGGCTGCACCAGGAAAAGCCCCATGAGACTCCACACCCAAGACACCAGCACCCTTCTGGTCAGAGGGCCACCAGAGCAGGCACCCATCTGACCGACCACCTGGAACCCCTTTCCCTTCTTGCCCTTCCAACAGAGGGAGCCACCACACTTCCCCCTGCCTCACAGTCGTGGCCAAGGAGCCCCTGACCCAATTAGCTCCTCTGAGACTTTTGACACTGAGACTGAGACAGAGCCCAGCCGCTTGTGGGGGCTCACACTGTAACATTCAATGTGGGAGCCTGGGCTTGTAGAAGGAAGAGCCAGAGAGAAACATGGCCATCATAGAAAGAGAATCAAAGTTGAGAGATGGCCTTGGCCAGGCTCTCTCCTGAGCTCTTCAGCACACCAGCTCCTTGTCCCGAGTCTCAGAAACTGAGGTACGTCGCTCTCAAATTCCCCAGATACCAGTGAGCCTTTAAGAAAGTCCCTTTTGTGCTTAAAGCTAGTTCCAGAAGGGGTCCTCTCCCTTGTGACCACCCCCGGGCAGGTTCCCTTACTTTGTAGGGGACATAGGTCAACATCTCACAGTGAGATTGGCATCTTGATGCCCCCTTGATGAGACCCCAGAAGGAAAATCCCCTTCAGACCCTGAACACCAGGGCCAGCCAGCTCCCTCCAGAACTTGTTTGTTTCAATCTGAGAATCTGACGGCAAATAGTGTTTCCCTCTTTGATGCGGCCACCAGGAAGCTCAGAATTGAATATACAGCCCACTTCTAGAGCTTAACCAGACATCACAGCATCTCCATCTTTCTTATATGCCCCCACCTCCATGTTTTCCTGACTAACTTATTTTTCATATTGCACTATGTGTGTCTTTGTAAATCACTTACAAATCCTTTCTGGAAAGGGGCAGTGTGGAAATACATTTACACATCCATGTATGCGTTCATACATACATAAAAGGCATTGCTTTAGCATCTTTCTCATGTTGGCACTGTGTAGGGGGTCTTCAAGTAGACCTGATATGTAAGAGCACTGAGAGGTATGGGGGGAAGGAGGGAGGACGCTCGCGTTGCAATAGACCATATGCAACAGGATCCTCCTGTCAAAAATGTGGGCGCTATGGCCGGCCCGGTGGCGCACTGCTACAGTGCGCCACTTGGGAGCGCGGCGGTGCTTCCGCCGAGGGTTCGGATCCCACATACAGACCGGCCGCTCACTGGCTGAGCGAGGTGCTGGAGCAACACCGAGGGTTGCGATCCCGTTGCCGGTCCCGGTCCGGTACGGGCGCGACACTGAGGGTTGCGATCCGTTGCCGGTCACGAAAAAAGACAAAAAAAGGAAAAAAAAAAGATGTGGGCACTATGTTCGCCAGGTCTGTGTGAGGTATGACTTGGCCTGCCACTGCCTGAAATGAAAGACTGGGGAGTGCTTAAGCCAGAGGGGAGTATAGGTTGGCAGTGCCAGATGAAGGGTCCTCATGTATGTGGAGGCTGCCCAGACCGGAGGGGAAGCACAGGATGGTGGGAGCCTTCCAGCCCCAAGGCCTAGGACGTGTGGGCCCTGCCCTGGGCTCCCCAGGGGTTTCCAGACACTCAGGAAGGAAGAACGTCAATAAGCAAGTGGCAAGAGAAAGGATATAGCCCCAAACTTCCTTCCTTCCTGGAGCAAAGGGGCCAGGCAGCCCTCAGCCTCACCAGGCTGCTTCCCCCGAAGTTGGGCAGGAATCAGCTTCCAGGCCAAACACAGCTCCCCTAACTCACAGGGACACCCCTCCCCATTGGCCAGAAACACACAGACACTCAGACTCACCCCACGCAGCTCTGGTCTCCCACACACACACCAAACACAGCTGCCACCACCCTGTCCCCTAGAGGTATGGCCACACACCCCCCGGCATCTGTGGTGGGACACACACAAAACCTTACACAACTATTCGCACACATACCCAGTCACCACCGCACAAGGACAGTCACCCGCAGCCTCACACCCCCCAACACAGCCAGGTACAGGTTCATGACCCCATCCCAATGCACAGGAACACAGAGCACTGGTCAAAGGCAGAGTCACACACACCTGGCCATGCATCCCAACACCCAGCACAGATACACTCCTTCCCGCCTGCAAGGGCCTGGGCCTGGCCCAGCCCCAGGCCGCCCAGACCTGCCGCTGACTCACTCAGAGATGTGCAGGAAGATGTCAGGGCCTCCGTCAGCCGGGGTAATGAAGCCATGGCCCTTGGATCGGCAGAAACATTTGCAGACTCCTTTGTAGACGGGGCCCTGTGAAGCCCGAACCGTCCTGACAGAGAGGGGGAAAGTATGAAGGGCCCCCATCAGCCCTCCAGGACAGCCACCTGTCCTCCTGGGGGCACACGCAGCTCATCCCAGTCCCTGCCCACAGCTGTGCCCTGGGGAGTCCTGGCCAGGGCCATCGTGTACATTCATAGAGGTTGTGCACTGCACAATTCTGGGAGCTGTTCACACAGACTCTGGTAAGAATGAATCTCTGGGGCCGGCCCGGTGGCGCACTGCTTAAGTGCGCCGCTTGGGAAGCGCGGCGGCGCTCCCGCCGAGGGTTCGGATCCCACATACAGACCGGTTCCCGCTCACTGGCTGAGCGAGGCGCGGGAGCAACACCGAGGGCTGCGATCCCGTTGCCGGTCCTGGTCTGGTACGGGGGCGACACTGAGGGTTGCGATCCATTGCCGGACACGGAAAAAGACAAAAAAAAAAGAATGAATCTCTGGATGACCCTGGCAAATTTTTTCAGGCCTGTTTCCCCATCTGGAAAGAGGGGAGTAGTAGCTAAAAGATCTCTGAGCATATCTCCAGAAACTAATTATTATTTATTAATAACAGCAGTAGCCTCCACTCACTCGCCTGAGATCCGCATCTGCCAGGCATCGTGTGGGTCCTCGTAGCCCCATGACCACCCTGATACTCTCTCCATTTTGCAGCTGAGCAAGTAAGGGTCTCACAGGTAGAGACTTGTGTGTGGGTAAAGCCCAGTGATTTTAAGACCCCTACGATTCCCCACCCAATGGCAACCTCATGACAGGTTCTCAGAGTTGAGAAGGTGCCTTCCCAGTCTCTCACCATCAGCCCTTACCCCATCCCTAAGTCTCCCCATTTGACAGCCAGGGACACTGAGGCCCAGAGGTGGCCAGAGACACAGTGAATTTCTGGTTTCGGGCAGGAAACTCATATCAGAAAGCATCCCCAGGCAGCCCCAGACTCACGCTGAGAAGGTCCTCGTCCGGCGAGTGGGTAGTGGGCTTGGGACCACATTGCCCCGCAGAGGGGACGGTGAGCGCTCTCGGGCACGAGGGGTGTCCAGCAGCCCAACAGGTACCTGATGGGTGGGAGGCTGTGACGGAGGGGGAGGCTCTGATGACATGGCTGACCTGGAGAGAGATAGGGGCTCTCAGGGGCGCACCCTCACAAGGCGGGGGCCCGATGCACCCCCTGCTCCACGTCTGAGAGCCTCCATCTGAGACTTAGTCCTGTCGGCTCTGCAGGCTCAAGTCTCGCTTAGCACCAGGTCACCTTGTCCAGAAACACGCCCAGCTAGGGCAGGCGCCACCCCTGGGCTCCTGTAGTAGCCACGGGCCTCCCTCTATCATAGCTCTGCGCAAAAATGCCAGGTTACTCGCATGACAAAGACGGCATTGTCCTCTCTATGGCCCTAGTGCCCAGTGCAGACCCTGGCCCACTCAGGGCATTTATGCAACACCCATGAGTGGCAGGCAGACCGGGAGGACAGGCAGAAAGCCCTCAGTCGGGGGCTGGCTGGCTAATCTGTCTGTTAGAGTGTGGTGTTACAGCACCAAGGTCAAGGGTTCGGATCCCCATACTGGCCAGCCGCCCAAAAAAAAAGAAAGCCAGCCTTCAGCCAGGGACACTTCAAAGCCAGCCACCAGATCAGAACTCCAGTCACTTAACAAACATTCCTTGACCCCTGCTATGTGCCAGAAACTATTAGGGAGGACAAAAATGTGAACACCTGGCATCTACCTCCAGGAAACTCCAGAACCCATACCAGAGAGGGCTCAAACCCCAAATTAGATCCCTGCATCCAAAAAAGAGAGGCCAGGTGGGCAAGCCCAAAAGACCCAAAGAGGAAGGGGGCATTTTAAAGGCTGCACGTCCACCAGGACCGCTATGCAGACCCAGGTGCTCACAATGAATCCCCAGCCAGCCTGGGCTACTGCCGCTGGTATGCATGAAATCGAATTCCCCTGATGACCCCTAACATGCATCAGAATGCAGGGTCAGGGCCGACCCCGTGGCGCACTCAAGAGAGTGCAGCGCTGGGAGCGCAGCAACGCTCCTGCCGCGGGTTCAGATCCTATATAGGAATGGCCGGTGCGCTCACTGGCTGAGCGCGGTGCGGGTGACACCACACCAAGGGTTGCGATCCCCTTACCGGTCACGAAAAAAAGGACAAAAAAAAAAAAGAATGGAGGGTCAGCCCCAGCTGGAGGGCTGGAGGGAGGAGATTCCTCAGCTGCTGCTTTGCTTTTTGGCAGTTTTGCCAAGAGCAGGATGTGGGCGCTGTACCCCATGAATGGTGAATATGAAGGTGCTGGCTCTAATGCCCCGATCGGCCTTGGCTCGCATAACTTCGTATAGCATACATTATACGAAGTTATACGACACTGGCTGAGCGCGGTGCGGGTGACACCACACCAAGGGTTGCGATCCCCTTACCGGTCACGAAAAAAAGGACAAAAAAAAAAAAGAATGGAGGGTCAGCCCCAGCTGGAGGGCTGGAGGGAGGAGATTCCTCAGCTGCTGCTTTGCTTTTTGGCAGTTTTGCCAAGAGCAGGATGTGGGCGCTGTACCCCATGAATGGTGAATATGAAGGTGCTGGCTCTAATGCCCCGATCGGCCTTGGCTCAAGGTCAAGAGGAAAAAGCAATAGCCCAGGAATCAAAGGGTAAGTCCTTTCACCTCTCTAGGCTGTTTCCACATCTCTAAAGTGGGACAGCTGGGGGGTGGCCCTCAGCACCTGCTCGGGGCTGGTGATGGAGACAGGTGAAGCAGAACTGGACTCTGCCTGCCTGGTCGGGGGAAGAGCCCAAGCTTGGGTCCGCTTGAGTTCATACGGCTAGGTGGGAACGAAGCAGCCCTGGCCACCTGGGGTTTTCAAATTTAAAGTATGAACTATCTTTTAAACATCCCAGGAGTTTGCCTTGAAATCCAGGTTTCCAGCTACTTTTGAGAAGAATCAGAAGCTCTGATAACCCTGAACACCCAGTTCACCACCCCCGGTTCCCTCATTTATAGCAACTATATGGCCCCAGGGCACTGAGTTTCCAACCCACATCACCCAGCAATGCCCCTCTGCCTCCAACCCAAACCATCCCAGAACCAGGCCCAATTCCTCAGGGAAAGGGCCGCCCCTTCCCCCAAAAGGACAAAACCTTTCCCTCCGCGCTCCCCTGTTGGGACTCAGTTCTGTCCAGCTGCAAAGGGAGGTGGCCAGTTGGCCTTCTGGAGGAAGTGACATAATTACCTCCTGACCCTTCTCTCAGCTGCAGCTGCAGCTGCAGCCAGGGAGGACAGTGAGTCCAGGGAGCCCCCGCCTGAAAAAGGTACCAGCAGTGGCTGGGGATCAGGGCTCCAGCATGACCCACCAGCACAGGTCATAGAGTCCTAGAATGTTCCAGTGCCCAGAGTTCTGGGAAGGAAGCTGGCCCAGAGAGGGGAGGGCCCCATCCAGCCCGCCCAGGACAGCAGGTGGGGTAGCAGGGGTCTGGTGACACTAGGGTGAGGAGTGGAACTGTGATCCCCCCTTCCATCCAAACTCTGTTTTCTCCTGGAGTCAGTCACATCTGACCAAATCCCACCACTTGCCGGCTGTGTGATCTTGGGAAAGTTACTTAATCTCTCTGGGCCTCGAACTATAATAGTCCCAACTTCACAGTATCATCACGAAGTTGAAACAAAATAATACACGCTAAGCAGTGGGCACACCATCTTCCCAGAACAAGTGAGCAATAATCATCAGCTGTGGTTGTTGTTATAATTGTCACCATAAAGTCACCCAACAAATATGTGCCCAGTACTAGGCCCAGTTCATAGCAATGAAGACACAGGGCTGAACTTGGAGCCAGAGAATAAGCAGGTAAATATATTAACAAGAGCAAAGCAGACTGCCAAAGGGGCAGGGGCTATTAGGAAACAAATAGAGGGGATGAAAAGGAGCAGGGCGGGGGTGCTACTCTAATGAGGGTGCAAGCCAGGCCTTGAATGATGGGAAAGAGTCAACCATCTGAAAACCGGAAGAGGCTACTCAGGTATGGGAGCAGCCTGTGCAAAGGCCCTGAGGTTGGCAAGGGCCTGTGTGACTGTAGGCCAGTAAGGAGACCGTGTGGTGGGTGTGGATGCAGGGGACAAAAGGCAGGAGATGAGGCAGAACGGAGGGCAGGGCCAGCTCAGGAACCACGCTGTGTCACCGTCATCACCATCACACGTCTTCCTTTTCTCACATCCACTTGCCTCTCTACATGTCCACACACCCCTCCTGGTGCCCACCTCCTCCTGGTAAATGAAGAAGGCCTGAAGTGAGGGCCCCCGTCTGTCCCCACCCCAGCCTCCCCAACTCCCCAAATACACCCAGTCCCTCAGAGAAGCCAGTGGTAGCCCACGGCCTTCAGGGATGAGTAGTCTGCGGGCAGCCCGGGGTCCCTCTGCACTCAAAGGGCCCAGCACAGGAGTTGGCCCAGGCAGTCTAGGGAATGACCCAGGTTCATTCTTAACCAGCACTGGCACCCAAAGTCCTGGCTGCCATTCACTGTGTACTTGGCGTGTGCTAAGTGCCTTACACAGTCCAGTGGGAGGTGGCTACATTCATGCTCACCTAACAGTGGAAGAAACCAAAGGAGAGAGAGCACAAGTGACTGGGGGGAGGGGCGGTGCCACCTAGGAGACCCAGGAGCCTTAACCTCCACCCAGCCCATCTGGGCTGGAGGGCAGCCAGGGCAGCCAGAGCAGGCCCGCTGAGAGCCAGCCACCCCCAGCAGGCCCGCAGGGAGGAGGAGGAGTGAGTGGCCTCAATGAGGGGAGGGCTGGGTCAAGGTCCAAGCTGTAAAGAGAACAGCTGGGGGGTGGTGGCCAGTCACCTAGGAGCCAGCTCTGGGGCCTTGCTGCTGCTGCACCGCCCCCTACACACACACAGGCAGACACGCACGCACGCATGCACGCACCTGCCCCAGCCCTGCCCAGCATGGTCCCAGCTTCCAGCTAGCAACTGCTCTCCCAGCATCCCCAGGCATGGCCAGGGAGAGTGTCCCCTGGAGAAGTCCCTCTGCAACTTGCCCCAATACCTGTCTTAACTCCCCCAGCTGGCGGAGGGGTGGGACTGCAAACAGACACTGAAGCTCAGGCTGGCAGGAGGCACGTGTTTGTGTGTGTGCACGCATGTATGTGGGTGTGTATATGCATGTGTGTACATGTGGGGCATGCGTGTGCACACGATTACATGGGTGTGTCTGTGCATGTGTACATATGTTTGTGCTCATGCATGTACATATGTGTGGGTGTATGTGAATGCACAGGCTCATTGCTGTCTGCATGTGAGACCCACTGGACCAGGGAGAAGCCACTCACACTGACACTGGAGAAGCCTGAAGAATGCTGTCTCCCTATTCAACTAAGTTACTAACCCACCCACTACCTGCAAGAAATAGACACCAAGACAGCAAAACTTCCTGCCCTCAAGGAGCTTACATTAGGGAAAGGCAGGGGCCGGCCACCACCACAATAGCATTGTACTGGGGCCAGACACATTCCGAGCACCTCACACGAGCACCTCACACATCTCGGCTCATTTCACCCCCATTTCACTGATGGGAAAACTAAGACACAATGTGTCAAGTAACTTGCCTGGGTCACAGTCACATAGCTAATAAAAAAAATTGGTGAAATACGTTTTATGTCAGACAGTGGAAACCCTCAGAGAAAAAGCAAGCTGGGAAGCAGGAGTGGTTCCAGAGGTGAACAGCTGGCCCTGTGCTCCCTCCCCCCCATCAGCCCCCAGGTTCTGATGAGTGTCCAGCTAAGGGAGGGGGCCCAGGGCTGGGGGGGTGAGGGAAAGCAGGAAGCCACTCCCACCCTGACTGTCCCTAGGGATGGGTGTGTTAGGCGGGAGAAGGGGGCCTCAGTCCAAAATAGCCTGGGAATTTTCCATAGGCCTTACAGCTCCTCCTGGAAGGTTCCAGGAGTTCAGCTGGGTACCAGGCTCTGGTCTTCCCAACCCCTCCTCGGCCCATCCCCAATCTGGGGACTTAGGCCCCAATAATGCAGAGCCCCAGTTAACCACCAGCCCCCTGTCCCTCCTGCCCTGAAAGCCCACCAACTACATCAAGGATCTCTTTTCAGCCAAGCAGCCAGAAGCTTACTCCAGAGAGAGGAGCCTCAGCAGTGCTATCAGACATCCACATCTTAGTGAGAGAGTTCATTTCACCAGGCTCTGCTCCTGGTAACTTCAGGCCCTTTCCTGAAGGCAGGAAGATGGAGAGAGGGGGGGTGCAAGAGCTCTGGTCAAGTCAGATGCTTTATTCTCCGCACAGCCTGAACTTTACCAAGACTGCAAAATGAGGGTGTCCTGACCCTTCCATGGGTCTCTGGCTGAGGAAGGCCAGGGTTGGGCATCATGTTGACAGCTCCCAGCGCCAGGGCCAGGCCACTGCTGGCAGGTGGGGTGGGCACTAGCCCACAATAAGGGAAGGGGACAGGGCAGGCTGCTAGAGAACCAACCATGGAGAGGGAAGGGCAGGGAGGGGTGCTTTTACTCACCGCCATCCACTGCTTCTGTGCCAGGCTCTGTCCAGCGTTTACATGCATTACTTAGATTAATCTTCACTTCAGCCCAACAGGGGGAGACACTTTCATCATCCCCATTTTACAGATGAGGAAACTAAGGCACAGAGAGGTTTAAGCCAGCGCTTCTGTCACTTTAGGGTGCCCAGAATCTCCAGGATGGTGTTCAAATGCGGATTCTGATCCCGCAGGCAGAGGGTGGGGCCTGAGATTCTGCATTCTGAGGAGCTGCTGCTGGTCTGGGAACACAGGGCAGTGACCCCTGTGCCACACGTTCACCTCGCAGCCCGAGGCTCCAAACCAGTGCAAAGGAGGGGGGAAGGGAAACCGGGCAGGGGGTCAGGGATAAGGCTCTAGAAGAATCTCAAAGTTACCCTAATGCACCAGGTTTCTCGTCTGTAAACTGAGGCAGAGATGCCGGTCCCCGCCCACATCCCCACCCTAGCCCAGCTGAGAACTGAGGACACGTGGGCCGAGGGGCAGGCAGGTCAGCTGAGCCAGGACAGAGGGGTCCCTGGCAGCGACAGCGGCCGAGAATGAGCCAGAGGTTGACGCAGCATCGGAGCGGGCCTCAGCCGCATTCCCCTCCATTGTTCCGGGGAAAGCGGGGGTCTGGGAGCCAGGAGGGGAGGGGAGGGGGGAGGGAGAGGAGGATGAGGAGAGATTGGACAAGGGGCATAAAGAATAAGTACAATTTGTAACAATATATATGCTAGCAATATTGATTTCATCAACATATGTCAACATTGAACCCCCCAAGTATGTATAACCAATTATGATTTAATAAAAACTAAAATTAAAAATAAAAAAAATTTCCTCTTCTTCTTACACTCCCCAGCTTTGCAAACATCATCGGCCAACTGCTCCACAAAACCAATTCCAGTAACTCATATGCTTATGTCATTGGTTTGCTTCATGGAAAATTTCCTGATTTTCATTTATTTCAGTAGTTTGGAATATGCCTCGGCACCTTCTTTAGTCCTGGGTGGAGAGGTAAAGCAAGCCAACAGCAGTGAGACATAAAAA